CATGGCTTTAATGGCTGATGATATTGAATGCTATATGTGCTTTTTTGGCATCTTGATAGTATCTCATCAAGATTTTTGCCTAGCCCTACCTGGTTTGGCTCAGTGGATAGAGCATCAACCTGCAGACTCAAGGGTTGCCCTTAACTGGTTTCGATTCCAGTCAAGGGCACATGCCCAGATTATAGGCTCAATCCCAGTAGGTGGTGCGTAGAAGGCAGATGATCAATGATTCTCTCATCATTGATGTTTCTATCTCATTGATGTTTCTAACTCTATCCCTCTCCCTTCTTCTGTGTAAAAAATCAATAAATTATATTTTTAGAAATTCTTGCTGGGATTTTCATAGGAATTGTATTAAAGCTGGAAATAAATTTGAAGAGAATTTATATCTTTACTGTTAAATCTTCCAATACACAGACATGACAACACGGCTCTCTATTTACTTATATTTTTTATTTTTTTCATCAGCATTTGTAGATTTTTAGCATATAGATTTTGTAGATGTTTTGTTAGATGTATATGTAACTATTTCTCCCACCTCCCCCCATTTATGCGGTAACTATAAATGGTATGATTGGGTTTTAAAATTTAGTTTCCAATTGTTTATTGCCAGTGTGTAGAAATACAATTGATTTTATATATATATATATATATAGAGAGAGAGAGAGAGAGAGAGAAAGAGAGAGAGTGAGTGAGAGAGAGAGTGAGTGAGAGAGAGAGAGAGAGTTAGAAACATCGATGAGAGAGAATCATTTATCAGCTGCCTCTTGCACACCCCCTACTGGGGATGTGCCAGCAACTAAGTACATGCCCTTGACCAGAATTGAACCTGGGACCTTTCAGTCCACAGGCCAATGCTCTATCCACTGAGCCAAACCGGTTTTGGCCAATTGATTTTTTATATATTAATCCTGTATACTGAAAACTTCTTAAACTCATTTATTAATTATAAGTTTTTTTTTACAGACTCTTGGTTTTTTGTGTTTTTTAAAAAATATATTTTATTGATTTTGTACAGAGAGGAAGGGAGAGAGATAGAGAGTTAGAAACATCGATGAGAGAGAGTCATCGATCAGCTGCCTCTTGCACACCCCCTACTGGGGATATGCCCGCAACCAAGGTACATGCCCTTGACTGGAATCGAACCCGGGTCCCCTCAGTCCCCAAGCCGACGCTCTATCCATTGAGCCAAACCGGTTTCAGCGTTTTCTTTTTTTTTTTTTTTTTTATGTATATAATCATGTCATCTGCAAATAGACAGTTTTATTTCTTCATTTCCAATCTATATCCTTTTCTTGCCTTATTGCATTGACTGGAACTTCCAGCAATAAGAGTGGTGAGAGAAGACAGTCTTGAAAGAAAGTTGCCCTTGGCCAGCCTGTGTGGTTCAGTGGTTGAGTGTGGGCCTATGAACCAGGAGGTCATGATTTGATTCCGAGTCCAGGCACATACTGGTTGCTGGCTCAATCCTCAGTAAGGGTCATGCAAGAAGCAGTTGGTTGATGATTCTCTCATTATTGGTGTTTCTTCCCTTCTCTCCCTCTCCCTCTCTGGAATCAATAAAATAAAAACAAAAAGAAAAGTGGCCAGTCTTTTACCATTAAGTATAATGGTAGTTGTAAGTTTTTTGTAGGTGTTTTTTATCAGACTAAAGAAGTTTCTTCTATACTTTGTTTGCCTAACATTTTTAAAATCATAAATGTAATGCTTAATTTGTGTTAAATAGTTTTTCTGCATAAGTTGAAATGATCATGTGAATTTTTTTCTTTAGACTGCTAATGTTTTATATATATACAAAAAAAAAAAAAGAAACTATTTAAAAATACTTTACAGCCCTAGCCAGTTTGGCTCAATGGACAGAGCATTGACCTATGGACTGACCCAATGGAACCTGGGACCTTACAGTCCATAGGGCACACGCCCAGGTTGTAGTCTTGATTCCCAGTAGCAAGTGTGCAGGAGGCAGCCAGTTTCTTTATTGTCAATGATTCTCTATCATCATTGATGTTTCCTTCTCTCTTTCCCTTCCTCTCTGAAGTCAATGAAAAATATGTTTAAAAAATATTTTACAGACATGGTGCTTGAAAAAGCTCTTTAGTTAACTGTATATAAATGGAAAAATTAATAAATAACATTAGTACAACAGACCTGAACATGAACACACTGGCAAAACAAATGGACTTAAAATGGAAATGGATCTTAAAGCCTTCTGTTTTCTATAGGAATATTTACCTGCTGTTTTTCTTGTTTTTTTATAAGTGAGAAAGATTAAATACTGTGAATATAAAGTTTCTTATATTAATGACACACTTTTAAAATAGCCAACAAAAATCCCACCTACGCTTTCTGTTTAACTTCTGCACCGATGCACAAAGCAAGGCTCTTTGTCCCAGAGAAGCATCAGCTCTCCGGCCCCACCCAGGCCAAGAATGTTAAGTCACAAATTAGGAGAACCTTAGAGAGAACTGTTTCTAGCTCCACATTCTTTATTAGTTAAAGCAGGGAAGAACTGAGAAAAGGGAGAGAAAAAAGTAAAGTGCTATTACATAAAAAACATTTTTTTTTTTCCTTTTCCCTCTGAAACCTAGTGGTCACAATTCTGAAGACAGGCTCTTGGTCACAGTTCTTGCTGCCTTTTCCAGGGAAAACTCCATCCCCAGAGAGGGCACTCACTGCTCTAAGTATGAAAGCTTCCAACAAAAGGGAGGCATAATGTGGTAGATATGTGGATTGAGTTTCTTTATTGTCTATACATCCTTTGATTTTTGCTCTTTATTTTTTCCTCCCATTTAAAAAAAATATATTTTATTGCTTTTCTACAGAGAGGAAGAGAGAGGGATAGAAAGCTAGAAATATCGATGAGAGAGAATCATCGATCAGCTGCCTCTTGCACCCCCCCCCCCCCACCGGGGATGTGCTTGCAACCAAGGTACATGCCCTTGACCGGAATCGAACCTGGGACCCTGCAGTCCGCAAGCCAACGCTCTACCCACTGAGCCAGACCGGTTTTGGCTTCCTCCCATCTTTTGCTTTGGCTTTACTTGGCTCTTTTTCTAGTTCCTTGAGGTAGAAGCTTAGATTATGCTTTCCTTTCTTTAAAAATACTGAGCAGTTGTTTCAGAGTACTCCTTGGTTCCCCGAAGAACCGTTTGTCCATTAAAACTCAGCTCAGGCCAAAACCGGTCAATTCGATTCCGGTCAAGGGCATGTACCTTGGTTGCGGGTATATCCCCAGTAGGGGGTGTGCAAGAGGCAGCTGATCAATGACTCCCATCGATGTTTCTAACTCTGTATCTCTCTCCCTTCCTCTCTGTACAAAATCAATAAAATATATTAAAAAAATAAAAATAATAAAACTCAGCTCAGGTGTCACTTCTGAGGCTGAAGAGGGTTGTAGCCAGCCTTTCCTCCTTACCTGCTACCTCGCCCTCCCTCAGTACCCTCCAAACTAGTGGTTAATGAAAAAATCTGAAGCTGAGAGAGAGAGAGAGAGAGAACACGAACTATGGGATTTAACTAGTGCTGGGAGTTCTTTCTAACCTGCAGTAAAATAAGGTTAGACTCCACCCTAGGCAGCTAGAGAGGTGCCTAGGGGCCATAAAAATTCCAACTCACTTGTGTAGGCTTCCAGTTTACAAGGTTATAGTGGACTTCACAACTGTTTGGCAAGACAGGAATTACCCCATTTGAATGATGGGAAAACTCAAGCAGAGTAGTTCGAGATCGCCCAATGCAGTCTAACGCATTTCCAAAGGGAACTCTCCAGTAGCTGCACCAATCTGGTCTTAGGGAGCCAGGAACACCCTGCCCCCCAGTGCTTCGCCTCGCCCTGCCCGCTAGGGGGCGCACGTTCCTTCCCCCAGGCCTCGGGAAGCCACCAAAGAACCGGTGGGTGATAGTAGAGGTGGGTGAGCAAGCGCACCCCGAGGGAATCGTGAAACCTGGGCCTCATAGCTTGGATCCCCAAGGGTGGGCCCGGGGTCAGGCCGGCAACAGGCAAGGGAGAGGGGCAGATCCACGTGAACCGCAGGGGAGTCCAGGACGCTGTGCTCGGTCGAGGACCACCCCCTCACCATTCAGCGCCCCCCTCCGTATTCGGGCAGCCGGGACCTGGGGCGAGAGGTCAGTTCTGTCAGCTCTGTCACGCCTCCTCGGACCAGAGGAGCCGCGATGGATGCAGGAGCCCAGCCTTGTCTTTGGGCTCCTCTGCGATCCCATTCTTCTGAGTTCCCTGCATTCCCGGCTGTCATCGAAAGGCCCCCACCCGCATTCTTCACGCCCCTGGAATGGCCGCTTTCCCCGGCACCCCCACAGGACCCCTCTCTCCTCCAGGACCCCTCCGAGCGCCGGGAACTAGGTCTGGCCTAGGGGGGCGGGCCGCCTCCTCCGCTGGCTGGGTCCCCGCCCCGCCCCTGGGCCCGCCTCCCGCAGAGACACGTGGTGCAGCCCTCGCGGCCGGAAGCCTCGCGCGACTCGGGCGCCTCGCGCGGCTGCTCCCGCGGCGCCGGACTCGGGGCGGGAACCCGGAGGCCGGGAAGGGGATTCGTGGGTCTCGCAGGAGCCCGTGTCGCCCGCGATCTGCGTTCCTGCTGAGCGCCCCTTTCCTCCGCTTTTTCGGGTCTGGGGCCCTGGCCGCACCCTCCTTCAGGCCGGTTGGCAGAGTAAGTGACCGGGCAGGGGAAAGGGCCGCGCATGCAGGAGGCCACCCTGGACCGGAGAGGGTAGGCACGACAGAGCCAGGGAGGCGGGTGGCGGAGGGGCTTGAGGTTGGGGGCGATGGAATGAATGAATGGAGCTGGCGGGGGAAGATACACGGAAGCTCGGGGGTAATGGGCGGGGACTGAGGCCGTAAGCGAAGAGGGGCACTGCGTGCGCCCCCTCCTGGTTACACCTTTTGGACAGGAAATGGAGCAGGAAAGTGAGCGAAGTCGCTTGTCACCCCTCGCTGATCTTGTCTCTCTCTCTCCCCACCCCGCCCCCCTCCAGCCAGGGCACGCCACATGGCAGAAAACCGAGAGCACCGAGGGGCCGCGGAGCCTGAGCTGGATCCAGTGGAGTACACCCTTCGGAAGCGACTGCCTCATCGCCTGCCCCGGAGGCCCAATGATATTTATGTCAACATGAAGACTGACTTTAAGGCCCAGCTGGTCCGCTGCCAGAAGCTGCTGGACGGCGGGGCGCGGGGTCAGAATGCATGCACTGAGATCTACATTCATGGCTTGGGCCTGGCCATCAATCGTGCAATCAACATCGCCCTCCAGCTGCAGGCGGGCAGCTTCGGCTCCTTGCAGGTGGCTGCCAACACCTCCACAGTGGAGCTTGTTGACGATCTGGAACCAGAGACTGATGCCCGAGAGCCGCTGACCCGCATCCGAAACAACTCCGCCATCCACATCCGAGTGTTCAGGGTCACACCGAAGTAATTAAAATGAGCCTGGCTCACTTTACCCAGCCACCCTCAGCTAGGCTCAGGTATGACTCTCCTTGTACCGAGTAATGTCATGGACCTCCTGCCGGAGTCAGGAAAAGCCTGTCTTCTCATAGCCCGAAGGATTCTGAACTGAGAGCCTGGAAGAGTGTTTCTGGTTGGGCCCGAGCAATAGGCCTTCCTGAGCCTCTGTGGTCTGTAAGCAACCATCGTGTCAGACAATAAAAAGTATCGAGTTGTGTTATCGTCCATTCACCCCACTGCCACTGCCTTTCCCCTGTGTGAGGTCTGTGTGTGCTTGAAAAGAAGAGTAGGAAACCTGACAAGAATGTAAATATAGGAGGGAAGCTTGAGGCACCTTCACAGAGAGCATACATTGTACTATGGACAGTGTAACAAACTTTAATACAATGCAGAATCCTGACAACCCAATGTTTGCTTTAAAATTCCTCATTCTCTCAGAGGTGGGTCAATGGATAAGGCGTCCACTTTTGCCTCTGAATGCAGCTGGGATAGTTGTATGCTCGGAAGCATCAGGCTCTGGTAGAGGTTCCCAGGCACAGAAAAGGTGGGGGGTTAAAAATGAAAGAAGCAAAAACTAGGATCTCCTGGGTATCAGTCTCTGTGGTAGGCATTGGCACATGGCTTCATTCACTTGGTCCTGCAGAGCCCAAACTGTTCTAAGCAACTATGGTCCAGAGCCCTTCAGACCTTTCTGGCTGGGCTGCTCTCGTGGGGAAAAAAAGCCTCTCCCCTGAATTACTGGGCACAGATAAATTCTTTATGTTTGGATAGTTTTAGAAAGATCAGATTTCTCATGTTTATCAAACCAGAGTCATCTAAAGCAATGTTTATCAAAGTGGTTGGTGATCCATTTGTGGGTCTTGTAATCAATGTACTGGATCATAGACTTAAGAAGCAAGTAGAGTCCTAGCTGGTTTGGCTCAGTGGATAGAGTGTTGGCCTGCAGGATGGAGAGTCCTGGTTTGATGCTGGTCAAGCACACATGCTTAGGTTGTGGGCTCCATTTCCAGTGTGGGGCCTGCAGGAGGCAGCCGATCAATGATTCTCATTATTGATGTTTTTCCCTCTCCCTCTCTGAAATCAATATTTTTTAAAAACAAAAAACTTTAACCCTCACCCTAACCAGTTTGGCTCAGTGGATAGAGCATCAGCCTTCGGACTGAAAGGTCCCAGGTTCAATTCCATTCAAGGGCATGTACCTTGGTTGCAGGCATATCCCCAGTAGGAGGTGTGCAGGAGGCAGCTGGTTGATGTTTCTCTCTCATCGATGTTTCTAACTCTCCTTTCCTCTCTGTAAAAAATCAGTAAAAAAAAAAAAAAAAAAAAAAAAAAAAAATATATATATATATATATATATATATATATATATATATATATATATATTTTTTTTTTTTTTTTTTTTTTTAAACTTGAACCCTCAAAGGCAATTAAAAAAAAAGCAAGTTGAAGAAAGTGCAACTTAATGGCCATGTTGTTGCCAATTTTTCAATTAACAATGTGTTTATATATACACACTAGGGGCCCAGTGCATGAAATTCTTACACAGGTAGAGTCTCTAGGCCTGGCTGGTGAGATCTTCTTTCTGGCTGCCAGCGGGGGCCTTTCTTCATTCTGCACCACCTCCTGATGCTCAGCCCATGTCATAGTGAGCAATTGAATTCCTGGTCTCCCGGTCAAACTCCCAGCGGGACAATTTACAAGTTAGGCTGTTATATATAGAGAAGATACATACTAGGTATGTAAATTGTTTTACTGTGGTTGAAATCAAGTTTGAAAAGCATCTGATTTAAAGGTTAGTAACAGAATTTTATTCTAGGTTGTTTGAAGGTAGTTTGATTTGGGTTTTGAAAACCAGACTTCTCATTTATTGAAATCCCTTCTGGCTTGAGTATTCCTATTGATGAGGGACTTTGATGCTGGGTGAGTGACTGCCAGTAAAGTGGATTCCTTACAAAAGGACCAGTGCTTCATTCAAACAACCTAACATGCTGAGTACCTACTGTGAGCCAAGGCTTGGTTTGGGCCCTGGAGATACTAAGGGGTGGATATAAAATGGTCTCTGTCTTCAAGGAGTTCATCATTTCATTGGAAAGGTGGATACACAGTTTTTGTGAATGTGGAAGATGTGTTATAAAAGAATTAAAAAGTAGTCATGATATGGAAATGTGGAAAAGGAAATGCTAACTTCCTGGAGGGGTCCAAGATGGTTTCACCTTTGACTTGGGTTTTGAAGGATGAATAGGAGTAACAGGCAAAAAAAAAAAAAAAAAAAAAAAAAAGGAAGAGGACATATCTGATAGAGGAGTTGGTATGTACAGAGGGGATTCATGAACAGGCAGGACATGTTCTGGGGCTGGGCGGTCACTCAGTGGCTAGAAAGCAGGAGGTGAGGGAGACATGGGAGATATTCCTATCACACCCCTTAGCCCCATAACCCTAGCATCCTTGATTGCAAGGCTCCCTTACCCTGTGGCCGCCCGGGAGCAGAGGGAGCTGGATGGAACTATGTGTCTCCCCGCACGTATGTGTTCTTGTGTCTACACTTCTGGCCTGGGCCCAGCTGAGGTGGTGGCAGGCAGCCTTTTGCATTTGGTTTGTTTTGGCAGCTATGTCTCCCAGCCTATTTGTTGTTTCTGCTCCATGTTCTCTCACTGCTTGCCAGTGCAGCTTCCCCCAGCGGCAGTTTTATAGAAATAGCCTTTGAACATTGGACAGTGTGGGGGTTCACCCTTGAGTGTGTGAGGGCATGTAAAAGATGAGGGGAAGACTTCTGCATCTGTTGGAGTCCATGCCTCGTGGGAGGGGCAGAGAACTCCATCCCATTTGGAGTGAGGCTGACTCTGGCTTCTGTCCACCCTCCATCCCCAACTTCTACTGGCTCTCTGAAGTGTCTTTCATCAAAACTTGGGAAACGGGGGAAGGTATGTCCAAATGCAATTTCCCTCCCTTCTTTTTACTCAACAGCTGCAGAGCCTACAATAAGTGCACAATTACCTCCTATTTAAAAAACATCCTCAGAGGTGAGAATTCAGACGCTTAGCTTGGAAGTAGGTGTAGACATGTGTTCATCATCCATAGCGTTATTGAGCATCCTTTATTTGTAGGGATTTGTGTTAGGAGCCAGGCCTGCCTGGAGAGGTATAACCATTGGTCCTGTGAAGTCTAATAGGAAGCAGCACAGATAGACTTAAAAAGACAGAGAATTTGCATGGTGTTTGGAACTGTGTTGGTGTTGGTAAAGGTCAAGTGACTGAGAAAGGTGGCCTCATAAGGCTCATCTAGAGTGGGCCCACAGGCCTCACTCAGTCCAATGGCTTTTGAGCCCCACGTTGATGGCGCAAGAAATTCTTGGTTGGCCTTAGGCTTTGAATAAATAAAGTTTGAGAGGGAGGTGGGGGGAGGGGAGGAAATAGGTGGTAGGAGCCTCCTTCTGGGCTCCTGGCGGTGCTGATTCTGTCTGGTCTGCGGTAGGAAGCACCTTCCCCACAGGATATAATGCAAGACTGAATAAGAAAATGTTCCTTCCTTCTAAGCCATGGCCTATCAGTTCTATAGAAATACCACTTTGGGAAACAGCCTTCAGGAAAGCCTGGATGAGTCTCAACAGGTCACTCCCCAGCTTGCCCTGTAAGTTCTACTCAGTTTGATAAGGCTATAAATCAGCATTGGCTCAGAGGGTCAGGAACAGAGTTAATTTCAGGGGCTCTCTAAATACACACAGATTCTGCGATAATGTGTGGACTCTTGAATGATGTTGAATTCAGAGAGGTGACAAACCTTATTAAAGTGGATAAAGTGAAAATTGTAGCCTGTGATGATAAAAATACTGGCTCCAATACTACAAAACAAATAGAAAAACGGCTTTTTTATACCATCTTCTGTTACTCATCTTCACTATTTAAAGAGAAGCATAGAAGAGACTTTATTTATTCTAGCATTGCAGAAACAACTACACTGTGCTATACCATCAGAGAATCCAGTAGCAAGATATGCTTGTAACTCTACAGCATGGAGAAACAGATTTTTTTTTAAATGACAAATCAAACGTTGTTGCCTTCCTAATAATATTCTTTAATAAATTCATTTTAAAACTCAAACAAATAGCCGAGACCGGTTTGGCTCAATGGATAGAGCGTCAGCTTGGGGACTGAAGGGTCCAGGGTTCGATTCTGGTCAGGGGCATGTACCTTGGTTGTGGGTGTGCAGGAGGCAGCTGAGCTGATCGATGACTCTCTCTCATCGATGTGTGCAGGAGGCAGCTGAGGGTGTGCAGGAGGCAGCTGAGCTGATCGATGACTCTCTCTCATCGATGTTTCTAACTATCTCTCTCCCTTCCTCTCTGTACAAAATCAATAAAATATATTAAAAAAATAAAAATAAAAAAATAAAAATAAATAAAACTCAAACAAATAAACAAAAAAAGAATAAACAAAGTTTGAGTCTTGTCTTGATATCTGTGTCTTAACCCATCTCTAACTCCCATCGTGACTCCATTTCACCCAGGGTATTCAGGGGCAGGTGTCTCCCGAGGGCAGTCACTGCCCAGCTCCCCAGAGGGGACAGTAAAAGATGTTGGAGGAAGGTCAACGAATATGCTGGGGGCTTGGTGTCCAGGCCTCGAAAGTGAGAACAAATAGCTGGTATAGTAAAGCAGAGAGCGTAGAAATCATAGCATGTGTTGATTACCCTATGTCAGATATTACATAATCCCACCCTAGCCCTGGGAAGGGGTTACTATGATTTTCACCATCCCCATTCTATAGAAACAAGGTACAGAGATAAAGTCATAGGTCAGCTAAGCTAGTAAGTGGCAGAACTCAGGCCACCAATCTGGGCTCCCATGTTTACTGAACTACCCCTTTGGGTCGCTAGGTTACAGTGCTGCTTGCAGAGAACAAAAACCTGGAGCTGGTTTTCGCTGCTTGTGGCCAAGAAAACAGCCCTTGTCTCAATTTCTCCAAGTTGATGCAT